TACGAGTAGAAAAAATAACCTAGTTGAACTCGGAATTCATCTGTTTTAAGAGAAAACTGGAGGGGAGAGTGTTGTGGTGTGTGTGATTTGACCTGAGGAAGAGAATGACACTTCTACAGCTCTTAAAAAATTGCCATACGTGATCACGATTCCTGGAATCCTGGGGAAATGACTTGTTATGGATAGTTGGGATGTTCAGTTTTAAGCAGCAAGTCTGTTTTGTCTCATCTTTTGTTTAAAATCTTTGAATTCATACGACTTGTTCTTCCACCTCAGGAAATAGTGTATAGAACAGCGCTGTCTAATAAAACTCTCGGTGGTGATGGGAATGTTCTGTGTCCCTGCTGTCCAGTATGGTAGCCACTGGCCCCACGTGGCCTTTTAGCCCTTAAAATATGTCTAGCGTGACTGGGGAACTGAAATGTAAGTTTTAGTTACTTTTAATTATTTTAAATTGGAATAGCCATGTGGGGATACATACTGAACAGGGCAAATATAGAGTATAATTAGCACTTAGTGTATGTCTCTGATTTCAAATATTCCATGGTATTATTATCCTACAAAATGTGAATTTTGATCTGTTCCCTGTCTCTGACAAAGTGAAGATTACTTCCGGGTAACCCTCTCAACCTCTGTCTTCAGTGCAGGCCATCAAGATAGGTGGTTCTGGAAATACAGCTTGAAAATTAGTTTGTTAGGTTGCATTTTCCTTTGCCCTTTCTAGTGTGTGAGCTGTGAGCATTTTCTGGGTAATTGGAGTTGTTATTAATTGAGGTTGAGCTCTTCAGATGATCCAGACCTGATGTCATTAAGCACAAAAAAGTCCATTATAGCCAGTTGAAGCCCAAAAGTGAAATGAGATAATTGATGATTTTTAAGTCAGAATAGTTCAGGCATTATTTGAATCAAAAGGAGACCCATTAACGTGAAAAGTCACTGCAAGCACCTACCTCCTTAAGGGTTTAGGGCTTAGATATTGTTTGACCTTTGACCTGCCTGCTCTTTGAACCCAGTTAACCTTTGGCAGGATTTCAGCAGGAGCTACTTTGATGGTCATTTTTCTGGTTTTTTTTCTGTCTTCATCCTATAATGCTCATCTCTTTTCTGTTGTTTGGTCTTGTTGTTCATTTTCGGGTTTTTTGGGGGTTTTTTTGGTTGTTGTTGGTCGTTTCCTGCTAAAGCCCCTAGTTCCTTTCCCTTTGCCCTTCTTTGGTCAAAATATTTCTCTGAAAAGTCAAGTACACGTGAAGTCATTTCTACTTGGAATTTACCTGAAGGGGACCCACCAAGATCCAAAGGTCACATCAAAGGGAACTGAAGGAAGGAGATGTGTCTGGATTGAAGCAGAAGAAAAGGAGAAAAAAATTTAAATAATTTAATGTGATTCTGATTACAGAAGCAGCTTATGTTTATCGTGGGAAAAATAGCATCTTTGTACAGACACCTGCATCCCCTTCCTGGTTTTTGTCTATGCATATTTATGGGTATATGTTTAAATTACCTCTGTGTTATGGTCGTGTATAATTTGCACATATGATAGATGATCTTGGTCCTGAATTTTAGTTTATAACATTTGCTCCACCACTAAAGTTTCTTCTAAGGCATACTTTTTTCCATTATTCCTTCAGCTAGATGTAAGAAAATTTAAGTGAGGTACACTTTCTCATGGTATAAATAATGTTGTAATCAACATCTTTGCACGTATCTTTTCATGCATTTTGATGACTCTCTTAGGTAATTCCTAGACGTGTATTTGCAGTGCATATTGAAGTCCTCACCAACAAAGAGTGAATGAGTGGAGAGCAGATTTCAGATTTCTTAGTGACATGGGAGTGGTTCCGGTGAGATAAGAGTTTCCTTGAGGTGGTTTCCTGGACTTCATCGGACTCTTCAGCTCGATTTCAAAGACAGAGCACAGCTTTGTAGATAGTCTACTTTTGCTTTTTTCCTGATGTGAGAATTCTTTGGGTGTAAGTTTGGGTTTATTAGTGCATTTATGGTTAGGACTGCTATTTGTTTCAGACTGTACTTTTGAGTCTTGGTCATTAGTATCTAGTGAATTTCTTCCATATTTTACTCAAATACATACAGCGTTGGGCAGCTGACTAAGCCCGAGTCTTAATGAATTAGAAACACTCTGTTTTCTTCAGTTTACCTCAGTTATGTTACACTATGTGGTGACAGCTACATACATCTACGTGTCACAATTTTGTCAGTTGCAGCCATCTGCCACAGTTGGGGAGTCAGGAAATTAAATAGTCTCAAAGTGATCGTGGAACTTTGAGAGTAACAATCCTGAGGCCAATGTACTTCATTTTGTTATGGAGAATATGTATACAAAGTAAGCTACATATTAAAAGCTGTATATATACGTTAACAAAAAGAAGTGGTAACTGAGAGCGGAAAGGAACCGTTACAATGAGAGGGCAATTTAAAACAGGCATAAGAGCTTTATGATCTCTAAAATGCCAAAGGCAACACACCTCACTGATGGGTGTTCATAAGTCTCATTCTAGCCCATCAGGGAAATGCTATCTTGTGGTTAATATACATTGTTTAGTGCGGTGGAATAATGTCCATTGTGGCCTACCATGAAAATGATAACATTAAAACACATGTTTGGGATTGAACTGAATACACAAGTTTCTATATCTCATAAAATTAACTTATGCAGTACATCTCATTCCATAGTGAATAGTCTTCAGAGTCCAAAGCTTGACTTTTTCCCTGTAATTCAAAATGTGATTTGAATATGTGTGTAGGTATGTGTGTCATTTGACTTACTATAAAAGGAGAATTATTTTGTCAATGACTTTTCCAGAGAATCCTCTTATATCCGAAGAATTGAAAGCAACTCCAATCTGACTCCAAGGTTTGTGTTTTTTCCACATAGTCTCCAAGTAACATCATCCTTTACACCCTTAAAATGTTTCTCAGTAGAAATAAATGTAACGGCAATACGTTCATGAACCGTGAAAGACAAAGTGTGCAGAGAGGCATAGATTTTGGAGACTATACCAGGATATATATCTCTATCTATCTATTGGATTTTTTTTTCAGGAAAATCATTGACAAAATTGACTAATTCTTAGTTCTGGACATATAAGCTTTACATTATTGGAAGAGAGTTTGCTGACATGATATAAATGATGGGGCTTCTGATATTGATGTCATGACCCACTAATCATTTGTGACCCACAGTTGAAAAACACTAGCATGGAAATAGAGTGTGTCATCCATCTAGATGATTCCAGGGCTGGTTAATTCAGGGACACAGTGATGCCACCAAAGACTTAAGGGCTCTACATCTTTCCACTTACCCCTTCTGGTCATAATATGGCACAGTTCCAGGCATCGTATCCTCAAACAAGTAGATCCAAGGACAGAAGACCATGTGTGTGTGTGTGTGTGTGTGTGTGTGTGTGTGTGTGTGTGTGTGCTTAATTGGAAAGTAATCTTTTTCCCCAGAAGTTCTTCCTCTCCTAGAAGACTTTCCTTCTGGCCCCATTCGTTGTTCAGGTTCCATCACAACCCATTCCTAAACCGGTCACTAGCAAAGGGAATAGATGCCATATTTGGTATTGTTGGATATGGTATGTTATTGTAATTAATGCCATAATTGGCATGGAGGAGTGAACACTCATTCCCTGATCCAGGGTACGGCCTCATCTGTCCTGAGTTTGTGAAAGGCCAGATGCTGGGTATAATTCCAGCTTTGCCAACAAGGAATGAGGGGTGAGGAAAGCTGTTGTGCAGCTAGCTGAGCAAGTCTGCCATTTTTGCCAGGGCATTTTGCCTATAATTCTGTCATGGTGTCAGTGCTGCTCGGCCTCCTCTAATCGGTATTTCTGAGCTTCTTTTATCCCTTTGGTATGTTCTGGGTTCCTTAAGGATGGGAACTTACTGTTTTTACCAGGGTCTGGAATTGTGCCTTATCCTAAAGGGTGATAAATAAATATTTACTATGTTGATTGGAATTCGCTCATGAGAATTGATGAAAAGTTTTCTTAATTTTTTATGGGATCTAAATTCTTTTAAGTCAAGTTTTTTGTTGTTGTTGTTTAAATATCAAGACCCTCCCAGTAAAGTTATGTTTATTCATTCCAGAAAATGATTAAGGAGCCTTGATCATAAAGGTACTGGAATAAAGTTACTGTGGGTGCTGTGTAATGTAAACCCTAAAAAGATTGTTTACAATTCTGTGTGGGTGTAGGAGGAAAAAAGGATTCAGATATAAATATGAGTGGGAAAGAAAACTTGTATGAGTCCATTTTATGCATCTGTTAACATTTTGAAGACTATACAGTACAGTTTATCATCTTAAAAATTATTAAGTGAAAGAAATGACTTGTATACAAAATCACCGCGATTCTCTATTTGAAGCTCCATTTAATACAAGTTTTCTTAGGAAAACTAATTACCCCAATAATTTAAAATTCAGTACATTATTGTACATATCATATAATTTCATTTAAAAAATCTTTTTCCATAGAATGAGATCAAAAGATCAGACTTTGGTTACTAATGTGGTGTGAAGTATAAAGTCAGTGTTCCAAGTCTTATATCTGTTCTGTAATATAAACATTTCTCAAGAGCTTATTTTTTTCAATTTGAAGAATTCTTCATATAAACTTACTTTCATCTGGTTCAGGTTCAGTGACTATACATGTTCATAATTTTTCACTTTATCTACTGTTCTAACTACTGTATGAACGTCTGGGTTTTTTTTTTTTTTTTTAATGTTTTGAGATTGTATAAATTCTCTCTAAAAGGGAAAACAGTCCTCATCTGCCTGCAGAATGGTCAACTTTGCACGTGTAAATGAGCAGTTCCCACCTTATTCAAGAGTAGCCATTTATAATAAGTTCCCTGAAGTGACACGAAATTTGACGCGTAATTCAGCACAAACATATGGATGATTTTTAAACCATTTTATTGTTTGCTAGTGGTACTGATTTTTAGTTACAGCTTTTACTAAGCGAAGTGATGGCAGGCGAAACTCGTTTTCTTGTGTCATTCTGAAAGCATCTGAAGTGTTTCCTTCAGTTCTCTTCCCATTTTCTGACCTCTTAATCCTGAAAAATAACAACAAAAGGAAGAATCAAAATAATTTACAAATATTCCTAGCGAGTATCACTTACATCACATGTGTGGCTTCCGTTCTGCCAAAGCAATGTATAACCATTTAAGTTGAATTCTGTAGTATTCAAAGTTTCTTTGTTATCTCCTTGTCATTAGGTAGGAGGTATCCAGAATGGACGACCTTGCCTTCAGGACACCTACAGCTATTAATTAATAATAAAATAACAGCAGCTACCCTTCACTGAATTCTTCCTGCACGCCAGGCTCTGAGCCCATCACTTGATTTTATTTTCTATAAAACAACCCTAAGAAGCTATCAATATTTATACTCCGATTTTACACAGGAGTTTTAAAGAGTTCAGACTACCTGCCCAAAGTCACCTTTCCATACATAGCTCTGCCAAGATGCGAACACATTATAAAGTTCATGGCTTTAATCATTAATAAAGAGATAAATAAATGCATTTTCTATACAGAGGGAGCATTACCTTAGGCTAGTAATCAACTATAGGCACCAAATTATTTGGGATACAATTTCAAATATTCTGTCCCATACTCGCCATAGATATGCTCATAATTGTGAAGACACATATGTCAGATAGTATAACTTCTTGTTGGGAAACTGTGGTAGTTGTACTTGGACAGAGGCTTGAAATATCTGAGTTAGTCACTTTCTCTTATTGTCAAAAAGGGAAAACACCCATGAATTTGAAGTAACTTGTACAATACTGTTTCCTCTTTGGAAGCAGAGCCAGAACTGGAACCTGGGTATGCTAGCTCCCCATCCAGGTCATTTCCATCTCACCCCTCGCTGCTTCTCAGGAGAACATCCTCAGTAGCATTTATAACATGGAATCACATTTGCATGCATACATGCAGTAGAATTATGTAATCTCATATACACAGAATAAGGGTTTGGGAATAGGGATATGAGTCACTTATTTTATTGGCTATTTCCCACTCATTTGGAAGAGTTTTCTGTAATGCAATTAATTTTGTGCTTAATTGTGAAAACTTCTTGCTAAAAGATTAACCTATAGAACCCAGCCCTGAAAAGGAATCTGATAGACTATCTAGCTTCCTCTAAGTTAGATTAAAAAACCGCTCTAGACGGGTAATCTTCCTTTAAAGAGATTCAAAGGGTCCTCAAAGAGATTTCCCACCCACCTTTTGTAGCCTGTTCAATTATTTGCATCCTCCCCACTCTCAAAACTTACCCCCCCCCTTTTTTTTTATCTTCAGTGCAAATCTAGCCTATTCTTGCTAGTTAAACCCTTGAAATATAAGAAAAACTGATATTCCCTTATACTGCTATCCTTAAAATTAATGGGTTTCAGTAATACATATTCTAGAAGTTCAAAATAATCATAGAACTTAAACCCACCATAAAAACTATGCCTCATAGATAAACTTGTTTATAATATAAAGTTACAACACATGCCCAGACTAATAGAGTCATTGACCTGTAGCTACTGAAACTCTAGATCGTGGTTTGTTTGAGAACTTAGAACTCTGGGGGCCAATTTTGCTTTACAACATTTTCACAGATGTTGTCGTGGCTTCAAGGGATACTCACCACTTCTTCCCGCTTGGTCTTGTCTGTTGCTGGCCAAGCTTCCAGAGGCAGGTCAGGAAGCATGGGGGGCAGGGGCTGTATGGGGAACATCGGAGGCAGAGGTGGCTGTGGCGGCAGGGGCTGGATGGGGTGCACGGGTGGCTGGGGCTGGATGGGCTGGTGAGGCTGCGGCTGGACGGGCTGGGGCTGGAAGGGCTGCTGGGCAGGCAGAGGGAGGTTTGGCTGGTGGTGTTGGGTTGGAGTCATGGAGTGTTGGCCAGGAACTGGCATCATTGGTTGCTGGGGGACCACGGGCTGCTGAGCTGGCACCATGGGGATGTGGTGATGAGGCTGCAGGGCGTGATTCGGGGGGTTCTGCTGGGACAGCACGGGAATGATTTGGTGGTGCAGCCATCCACCCATGGGTTCGTAACCATAGGAAGGGTACTGGTGAGAAACAAAGAGTCAGGTTTACCATTGGCTCCATTGACTTCCAACTGGAGAAGTAGTCATGTTGTCTTTGTCATTATGACTATGAATATTTATGCATTTTTCCTGTGCAAGAATTTCTAACTGTGTACACAGATATGACCTTCTACAAACTGGATTTTCCATTAGTGTCTGTATGTGGCATAGATATGTTATTTCACTTAAAAGGGAATTGAAACACATGCTTAATATTTTAAGGGAATAAAGATCAAAAAATGTACGTACCGGATGCCTTATCATGTTCTGGTACCACTTCAGAGGAGTGAGCACCTTAAGAAAAAGAGACATTAGAATACATTTGCTTTAGTTTAGTTACATGAAATGCACTCACTGATGCTGCAGTCCTGTCAATATCGATAGCCTGAAAGTGTGAGTTCTACAGATCAAAGAATAAGGTAAACATTTGTCAGGTGCTTCCTATGTGTTATGCACTGCATTGCATCCATCACACACATTTTTCATGTTTTCTCACATACTCTGAGGCAAGTATCATCACACTCACTTTTACGGACAAGGTCATGGGGAGTTAAAGAAGTTTATGAGCTTGACTGAGGTCACAGAAGTAGTAATTCTGTTCAGTTCCCCAGCTCCTGCTCTTCTTTGCCAGAGCAAAACAAAAAACAAAAAAATTAATGTGATATAACATGAGTCGTGTCTTTTGTTGATCTGATGTCACAATGCAAAAATAAAGGAGGTGGAAGAACTGTCCCTCATCCTAGAAACACAGGTTTTCTGGTCAAATATATCAACCTCTTAAGGTTTAACAGAATATGTTGCCTCAAATTCTTCTTAGTAACACTTTTCCTCAGGTTACATGTGAGTAAACAGATTCACAGATTGTCGTCTGAGCCTACCAAAGAAGTAGGAGTTTCATTCCTTTTTCAACAGTATATACTTGGTTACAACCTCAGTTCTGGGGACTCCTTCACATAGTAGTAGTACAGCATTTGATATCAATACAACAAACACATTATTGACCTTGCTCAAATTATACTTGACAGAACACCTTTTATATTGCATAACCATTTTGCTCCTCAACCATACTTTGAAGTGTGGGTATTATACTTATTTCCCTTCTCCAGATGAGGAAACCAAAGTTTTAAAGAGAGAAAATGATTTGCCAAAGGTCACATGATTAGAATGGGGTTGAGGAGAGCCTCAAACCCGATTTCCAGAAATCTCATGCTTTCCATTGCTCTGCAGAATGTCTCATAGACCACTTGGTCACTGATCATTGATCTTTCAGCAAAGACAAACAAAGGAGACACATAGAGTGTGAACATCTTAGAATTAGGAGTTTCTAGCTGGAAAGGATCTTAAAAAACAGCTGACTCCCCCAACTTTTACAGGCTGAACAGCTTTGCTGTTCACTTTCTGCCCTACCATGCAGCCCCCCCCCCCGAGTGGTAGTTCCTGATGGATAATTTTATAGCCATATAAGGAGGAGAAACTGAGTCAGAGAGGCCGAGTAGGAGTGTGCTGGGGGCAATGCGGGCTTCAGGCAACCCATCAGGGCTTAAACCAGGAAGCTGGTAATGGGAACTGAAAAAGCGGGACTGAGAAACATCTTGAACAAAGAATCAACACACTACTCTTTACAGAGCCCAGGGCATTGTTAAGTCAAACAATGGTCAAAATTAGTAAAGAGAAAAATTACCTCATAGCTGAAGTTGATATAACCAGGGTGCCCAGGATGAGGTGGTAGCTTTTATAGAGGGGAAAGGAGAAGAAAAAGAAAGAGGGAGAGGGAGAGAAGGGGGGAAGAGAGAGAGAGGGAGAGAGAGAGAGAGGAAGAGATTAAGTCAATATGCAATTGTTCACATTAAGGGAGACTGAAGCTACTTTAAAAAAAAATCTACATGGTGCAGAATATATTTGAGGTCTACTTTTAGTCTGAACATGTACGCCGTGTAGGAGAAGAGCCCTCTTATTTTAAAGACGTCCAGAACAACTAAATGACTTTCCCAAGACCCAGAAGCAAAAACCAGACACATTTATCCTCCAGTGATCTTTGACACCCTCCCCCATCCATGTTGTCAACTAATCCTACTCTGTCCCATCCACCATTTTATGTCTTAATGCAAGTCACTCCATGTTGGAAAGAGAGATGTGTTTCTCCTACACAATTCTGAAATACCGACGAGAACTGTTTCCCAAACCTTCCCTTATAGATCAGGAGGTGGAGAAGTGCTTAAGTATCCCAGAGATTCCTCACAATTGGTGTGCAAAGCACAGCAACAACAACTAAGGAAACAACTGCCTGTGAATTATTGATGAACATGAGGAGATGGGGAGGTAAGGTGGAAACATTACAAATCCCATGGAAAGTGAGAGAGTTGATTTCGACTGCTTCTTTTTATTATTCTGTCCCAGTTTTTTATGGAAGAAAAAATGGAAAGTTCAAAATAAAAATCAGCCTGAATAATGATCTAAACCAGGACTGGCTGGCCTGTCAAAAGTGGAGGCCGTGTGACTGATGACTGCATTGTACAATTCTGGTTGGCCCTGGAGTGGGGGAGAGGGAGAGGAGACAGGATCATGCAGAACATCTCCTTCAGACATCGAGCTAATTAAGGCTCTATTAGTTTTAAATGCTCGTATTTTAGAAGGTTTATTTGCTCTCATCTGAGCGTGAACTACTTTTCGTTAGGGAACTGCCTTTCCTGTGCTTTCTTGATATAAGTAAGCCCTCAGGGAATAGGGGTGCTGACTTGAGGAGTGGAAAAAGGGCTCAATTTGTAATGCAGGGCTCCCTCAGGGGACTAGAAATTGCCACAATGCAGGATTTTAGGAAGGCAGAGCACAGAATCTTGGTCTTGTGGGTGAGAGAGGAAGAGAGGAGGCAGATATGCAAGCTTGGCTGGCTTCTGGTTGTATCAACTGTTCCTTATGCCACCGAAAAGCAGTTGGGTCCTGCTTTGCCTGATAGTGATCTAAGCTCTCTGACCTGATGTGCTTATGTCTAAAGAGAATGGGTCAGCCGTCCTGGTCCTTGGTACCTTTGAATGTAAAATATATCCACATGCATTGGGCAGAGGTAGGATTCTGGACAACCACACGGAAGCACCCATGTACTTAGCAGGTGCACCCAAAGGGATGCGGCCTCTGACAGCAGGGAGAGGGTTCAAGAAAGAAATTCCTAACACAGAAATCTTACCCTCTGAAGGATAATAGCAGTGGAGTTTGGAGGGCAGGAAGAGAGCTGGACACTTGTGAGAAAGTGGGTTTTAGAGAAAACTGGCTTTTTTGTTGCATTTGGCTAAGGCTGATTAAGCATTTTCTCTGGAGGCCTTTCAAGGGTTCCTTCCAAAAGTTTCCTCCATCTAGAGATGGGCGATGATATTTACAAGCTAATTGTTTCCACAGAATCTCCTGAGGTGCTTGTTAAAATGCAGAGTCCTGGGCACCACCCCCACTCCAGCTGTACTGAATCAGAATCTTGGGTGGAGGCATCTGAATATTTTTTTTTATAACAAGCTCTTCAAAGTGTTTCTGAAACACAGAGACATTTGAGGACATCTGATCTTGCACTGTCTTGAGCCCTAAAGTTTACCAACTGTGGGGCAGATTTTTATTTCCAAGCTTGTGAAATTGGATATTGACTTATGCAGGGGTGTTTTACTCACGGGCATAGCAAAGGCTGCTCCCAGGAGGCAGGCAAACAAAATCCAGGTCCCCATTTCTTGCTGGCCCTGAAATATAAGTTGACAGCTAAATCTCTTCGCAAATATGGACACAATTAATACTCCGTAAAACCCACATAGTCCATATTAGTCTGTCGCTGGTAAAGAGGATGGGACCATTCTTTGTGAGGTTACTTCATTCACATGTTTTCCAGTTTTCAGCTCATTTCATTGCTTTTGGAATGACGAGAGTGACAAGGATGCTTCTCACTTAGGTTGAGAGAAGAACAAATTGTAGAGGTGTCAATCTATCACTACACTACACGATTTGGTTGCTACTCTCCTATACCTGTGTAGCCTGTGGATTCATAGAAGCTAAACGTAGCATATGATTAACGATCATAAAGAATAGAGTTGGCTCTAAAAGCTGAGGAGATCTTCCAGGTGCACAGTATTGGATACTTTCAGAACCAGGACGCACAAAAAAGGTTTTTTTTGTACGGTGCACCTGAGCATTGCTGCTGTTAAAAACAAAGACTAATTCTCTGCGAAAAGGCCTTAAGGAATTTACCAAAATAGAGTAAGGAAGGAGTGGAGTGAAGTTCCAGGTGTTTCAACTGGTAGGCCTTCAGGCAAGTCCCTCAGGTGGCATCTCTGAGCTCCAGATCGGGAACAAAAGATGTGGTTGAATGGAAGGGAGAGGACAGTGCTAATATTGTGCGATCATGCCATGACTTTTGAATGACTTCCGCTTGAAAGAGTCCATGTTTAGTCAATGACATCTTCTTTTTGTTTGGCACTGTACCGTAATTATACACTTTATGACCCTTGGGACATGAAGCGGAACAGGCCATCCTAAAATACGCACACTGCTTTGTGGTACAAATTATTGACTATGAAAACTGTCAGAAGCAAGGTCTTGAATTTTGCGAAGAAAGTGAGTCTCCTGTGTAATAATGCCGGCTGTAAAAAGTGCGCTGACGCGTTCTACCTCCTAAATCTGTTTTTTTAAAGTTTGAATTAATGAGGAAAAAACCCCACATTTAGTTGGTGGTTCTATTTGATGTAATTAAACAAGATGGCTTTTAAAGTCGTAGATAGATCACAGCCTGTGAAAAAGCATTTTTATCTTAATTGGCAAGTAATGAAAATAAATATTCTACTGTGAAATTTGGCCCCCAAAAGTGCTTTGGGATTCTGGAAGTAAAACTTAGTGAAATACAGACAGACACGTTGCTGCATTAGAGAGTAAAATAATCCATCTAAGTAATCAGAATCTAATTTAATTATGGTCCGACTGAAGAAGTAACTGAATATGACAGCATAAAATATTAGAAATGCAGAATACGTTTGCATCTTTTCGTACATGAAATGCAGTGAAGGAAATGAATACAACAGAAAGGATACCAAATTATGAATAAAATCCACATACCTTTGAATATGTGTGTTCAGAGGAAGTTTCTGTCTGAAACTCAGGGATGCTTGATCCTTTAGATTTCTTCCAACTGAGAGCTCAATTTATATCATTCACAGCATCTAGAACAACCAATCAGATTTCTGAAGGAAAATGTGTTGAGTATACCTAAAAACCCCTGTATCATGAAGTTTTAAAAACTGTGATCAAACAGAAGGCTGCATGTTGTGATTAGTGCATTTAGAGTCTTTCATTATGGGCAATAATAGGTTTAACTGGCAAAAAATTTCATCGGGTTGTTTGTAAGTCAGCAAATAAGTTGGCTGCACATGCTGATATATTCAAAGTTACGTTCAAGAAGAGCTATGTCATTGTCTGTTCCCTGGTTCTGGCAAACGTAACATTGTTCTTTACCCAAAAAGCTAGATAGTTGAGTCTCTATAGTGTAATCAACATGTCCCCTAGGGTTCGTCATCCCTTTCAGATCAGGATAAGTTGATTAAAACCCCCATTCTGGTAAAACCCCAAAGCTCTCCCCAGTATTTCTCTGAGGGATTCTAAGTTCGGGATCCCCACTGCTCTATTTTCTACTTCCATTGAATGCATTTTCTCTGTTGCCTGTGCCCATTCCTCTATCACCGCTCCGGTGTCCACTGAAAGAGGGCACAAAGTTACTTCTCCTTGGCCCCATCCTACAACCCACCTGCCCCCCAAGGAACCACGAACTCAAGATGATCACAGTAGCAGACTTTTCCTGATGATCCGAAGGACGAGGCGAGAAACGTCACGCACCAGACTGCACACTTAAGCATTGTGTGTGGGACATTGCTCTGGTGCCCCCCTCCCACATAACAATCTCGCAGGATGATGGTCCTTTGTGCCCACGTCCTTCTGGCCCGATCCCACTTTCTCTTATAAGCAATTCCAAATTCCTCTTTCTTTTTCAGAGCCTCTTGACTTCCCCTTTAGGTGCCATTGTTCCCATGTTCTCAGCAGCCTCTCCTTTGCCTAAACAACAAAAACCGAAGCCCTTCTGCCTCTGAGAGGATCTATGATCTAGCTATTAATTTCATATGTCTTTTACCCTTCTACCTTAGTAAAGCACATGGATTTTTGTCTTTTACTCTAGGATCCGATCAGTTAAAAAGCAAATCTGTAACTGGTGATAAGAGGTAGCTGATGAGTTGTCTATCAACATTAGATCAGTAAAGGAAATGCTGAGTATATACCCAGACACCATTGGCAGTATAGCCGGATCTCTTTTACTACTTTAGTCATATTTTTAAAGTTTGTACATGTGCGTATGTTTTTATAAACATGCTCCGCATTGGCTGAATTAAATTCAAGGAGAAAATACCCATGAAAGGCAATGTAGTACTATTAAGAACTAGATCTTAGACTTACGTGGGTACTGACCCCAGCTTCACCAAGGGTTGAGGGACCACTGACAAGAGGTTTAGCCTATTCGAGCCTCAGTTTCCTCATCAGTGAAATGGGGATAATTATAGAATCTACCTACAAGGGTTAGTTGAAAACTAAATGAGAAGCATCTCTGGGGGAAATGGAAAGTTATCATCCTCCCCAACCCCATCACTTGGCGTGCAATAAATGTTTAAAACGTGCTAATAAATAAGATTCTAAGTTGATCTTCACAGATGAATTAGTAGGGAATGAATAACCACGGTGAAGAAAGGTAGCTCTTTCAGTCAGGGTTTCAATCGGGGAGAGAGACAGAGGGAGAGACAGAGAGAGATTGCAAAGAAGGAAGTGGAAGATTGTAACAGGAGAAAGGTATGAATGAAAGTCAATATAGAATATAGTCCTAAAAGCCATTTGTGTCCAGGTTTGCGTTTACTTGTGAATATGTTTACTGATGAATTCTATAAGAGGATTGGCATCCGCTTACTTAGAAGAGGAAGAGGTTGGGGGCGGGGGGTTGTGCAGCAAGGTGGTAAGGGAAAGGAGGAGGGAGAGGAAGGGTAATGTAGAATCACATCATGTTCTTTTTCAATCTTTTTTTTTTTTCTAGTTTATTTAATTACGTATATTGGTGTCTGAAAGGATTCAGGACATGTTTTTCCTGCAAATTTGTGGTTAATCTCTATTAATAGGGTCATTGGTGAGCTATTAGTGGTCTTGTAGTTTTACCAAGTTTATCTCATTCCTTTCTGTCATGTTTCAAAAATGAGGGACTCATATTTGTTGACAAGGATCAACAGAAAGATCCCCCATTGTGGCATTAATTTCTCTGGTCCACTGCATAGTGAGTTATAGCCAATTCACTATGGACAGTTGTTCAGGCTTTGATGGCAAATACAATAGAAATTATGTGGTTCTTTCTGTTTATTTTCTCCCACTGCACATTCTGAGTCATAGGGTATTAAAATATGGATCTCTCTGCTTGAAATTTCTTCCACTAATTTAGGTCCCACAAATGCAGTTTAAAAGTTAATGTTTGGGGGAAAACACAAAATTTCAATTAAAATTTTTTCTATAAGCAATTATTTCAATAAGTTGAGTTTGTCAAAAAAGAAAACAGAATTTACTAGATTGACTGCTTATTTTGTTATGTAGAGGCTATAACATTTCCAAAGCATTTGTGTTCTTGTTTTCCTTGCACTTTGATATCAAATATTGTCTTCTCTTTTAAAAAAAGACACTATTTTAAACAATGGATCATAAGCATAAAATATTTTTTTCTATGGCATCATCTCTGGAATAGCTATAACAAGATGACTCCAGAATGTGTCTTCATTCACTTATTCACTCATTCCAGCTTTCCTCCAAAATGATGAGTGAATATACACCCTTATGAGTTATAGGTTCTCATTCCTTTTTTAAATTTTTTAAATGTTTATTTATTTCTGAGAGACAGAGAGACAGACTGCGAGTTGGGGGGCAGGCAGAGAGAGAGGGAGACACAGAATCTGAAGCAGGCTCCAGGCTCTGAGCCGTCAGCACAGAGCCCGATGCGGGGCTCGAACTCACGAACTGTGAGCTCATGACCTGAGCCAAAGTCGGACGTTTCACTGACTGAGCCACCCAGGCTCCCCTATAGGTTCTCATTCTTGCTTAGTGGAAAGGAGGAACATCCAAGAAAGGGTTATACAAAAATCACATTTGGGACATCTTCTGGTCCAGAAGCAGCTGCCCTAAATCCTTCCTGAGACCTGTAGGATTAAGCAGGGCCACAAAACAGGCAACTCATGTGGAAGGACCTCAGGCTGGGAGGCCGTCTACTCTTTTTGGCGCAAATCAAAACCCAGATGATTTCTGCCTGCCACTGGTCAGAGATGGGAAAGCACGCGTTAATCCCAGGCAGCAAGAGTCTGACGCACCACTATTATGTCTCCTCATTTTGGCCCAACTGAATATGTTTAACGAAGAAAGACCATGGTAGTCAAGAGCTCCAGCAGTCTTGAGCTCTGAGAGGAAGCATATTTTAAATGTCTTCACCTCCTGCAATGTCTGGCTAAATCGTATGCACTCAACAACAACAACAACAACAACAACAACAGCTTTTATAGTTATTCTTTCCCTTGATTTACAACTCATCACATTTTGCTCTTTCCATGTTGCTTATGCTAACGGCTTCTCCCCTTCTAACTTGCTGCTCCTAATTCATAGTGTGCTGGGAAAATCTTATGTCCGAGCTTGTTAGAACTCTGTGTGGACTGCAAGTAAAGAGATGCTCTGAGTGGTGTTGGCTCCGGAGGCTCACGTGTGAGAAAAGCTCAAGCATTTCAGTCTTGTGGTGTTGACTTTTGGCTGCTGGGAGGATGTTTTGTTTTGTTTGGGGGTTTTAATGAACTTCCTGGTTTTTAGTGGGCATTGAGGTATGTGGGTGCTCTTTGGAGAAGTCGGGTAGTAGGAGATCCAGAAGCCTTTTTTAATCTATCTGAGCTCAACGCTTAAATCTCCTTTTAAAGCAGGTCCCAGATTGTCCAATATTCTGGAATAATTTCACGAGTGAGTATTCTGAAGTAACTGGAGCCAAAGTCGACTTTTAAACGTTTCTTCTGTTGATATTCACTTGTGAGAAAATATTGTTCTCTAGGCTGGTTTTTTTGCTGGAGTGTAGTCGTACCTTCTTCAGAACTCAGGTACACCACCACTAAGTGATTCCAGTAGACACAGTGACTTCCCTTTGCAACCCTGGGAAGTCAGATATTGTGTCTTCTACTTCCCTGGGAGCTCTTTGTTACCGAGAAAAGTCTCTTTTACAAGCTAGGTGCTAGATGGATGTGTTGATCAATTGAAGAAGGTGTAGAGTTCTTCATGACACTATGAAAATATAAAAAAAAGTACCTAACCTACGTGGATTCTCCATAGACAAAGAAGCCAAGATTGCTTTTTTTTTTAATTTTATTTTCAAGTAATCTCTACACCCAACATGAGCTCGAACTCATGACCCTAAGATCAAGAGTTGTGTACACTACTAACTGAGCCAGCCAGGTGCCCTTGATTTCTTGATTCATTGATTTTGATGGGCCTTTTAAACAGCTAAGATGGATAACTCAGCATTGCTGTCAATGCTTCCTATAGACTTTCCAGCAAATGGACTTTAATAAGAACTTAAAAAGGGAGATACTGTAAAAGGTTTAGAATCCATTATCCTAGCCTCCTTATTATATTTGGCTGTGATCTGTTAGTTCAAACTGGAGTACACTATAAGCAAATATACTATGATAGATCTGCTTGATCTTTTCTTACTTGTCACTGAGTTTGTTTGCTTAATATAATAAAGTCATTATTATTATTATTATCTTAAGCTTCTAGAATGACTTCAGCCCAAGGAGCAATTTGAAAAGAATAACAACAAAATACCCTCTCTGGCTCACATTCATATACTTTATTGATTGCAACCCATTAGTACCTATTCCAGAATGCCCTGGAATTCGCTGTGTTTTTTGCCTGGTTGTTTGAAGCTATGAAAAAAAAAAAGAGGGATCTTCTACTGGCTAACAGCATTTAATAAGTGTGTAGACTTGGGACAGGGAACATAAGATAAGCAATAACAGAGGTAAGGAACCAGAAAGCAGAAGGGCACAAGTAGGAAGAGAGAAATCGGG